AGCAATTTATTATAAAAACGTTTTCATAATTGTAACATACATATTTACATATATAATTATTCAAATGCATGTGTAATAACTCCCGAAAACTTGAGGCTACAGCTGCAGCACTTCTTCCTCATCTTCTTGTCTGATGCTGCCCAAACATATACACTACACACTAACTAAAATTCAAAAAGTGAAAAAGCATAATAGGACCCCTTTAAGTTAGAAAACCTAAATAAGGACGCCAGTTGAGAGTGATGCCCCATACAAATGACCTACCCATATTTTGTTTCCACAACTTACTTGTGTGATAAATTTGATTAAAAGTTGAATCATGGCACATTGCATATCGCTGATAAACAGTGTTGGGAGTAACGCATTAATTTTGGCATTTTATAATACTAATGTGGATATTTTGGTGAAAGTAACTCAAAAGTAACTCAAAAGTAGTGTAACGCATTACAATTCAGAGACAGTAATATTGTAACGTAACTAATTACTTTCAAAAGACAGTAACTAGTAATATATAATGTATTACATTTTGGAAGTAACTTGCCCAACTCTGCTGATAAACATCAGGGCCCGAATTCACAAAACATTTTATCTAAACACTAAGAGTTCTCCTATATAGCAGTAAAAGTTTTTAGCTAAGTGTTTTCTCTTAAAACCTATTCACAAAGCTGCTGAGACAAACTTTTACTAAGGAACAGAGAGAAGCTAAGAGTAAGGGCAGGGTTGATCTCGTTGCTGTGGATGATGTCAGCATAGTACTAACTATGCACACAGTGATTGGCTGACAGTCTCTGTCAGAGATTTATTCATGGAAATATTGTAGGGCACAATATTATGTTGCCGTATTCAAATAAAGGTTTAAAAAATAAAAAATGTTAATTGCCACATTCAAATAAAGATTTTAAAATGCAGGATAAGTGTCACTAATTAAACAAGTATATGTTCAGATTATTGTCAGCATCTTACATGTATGCTTCTCAAAAACAGTTAGCGGATATGCATATAAACAGCCTTTTAATGAACAGAGTAGAATAATCCTGGCTGACAGTAATACAAAAATGGACGCAAGAACAGCTGTTACTTCTTGCCCAACTGGTTAATGAAAACAGGGATATAATCAAAGGAAAATTAGGAGTTGGGGTAACCTACAAAACCAAAGGTGATACCTTTTTAAAAGGTCATTATCATCAAATGTTTCTAAAATGTTTAGCTTCCGAGGCAGATCGGCAGCAACAGCCATTTTAGGATAGTTTGTGGCTTGGTCTTAGTGACTTAGGAGTCCTCTTCACTACTCCTATCGTTTCACAGATTTAGGAGCTAGTTTTAGTACTAAAACACTTTGTGAAATACTCTTAGAACAAAAATTTAGGAGTCCTAAATTTAGGACTGACACGCCCATTATTTTTAAGATTTTCTCCTAAATCGGCGAGTTATGAGCTACTTTTAGCCTTAAGATATTTCGTGAATACGGGCCCAGCAGCACAAACGAATGCTTCACTCAGTCACCACAGCAATACCAGCCTCTCTTTTTGTGTGGCATTTTAGATTATAAGGGACTTGTGTAATGTTTTGGTGTATATTCAGATTCTTTACATCCTTGTTTAACCTGACATATAGTTAATTCCTGTGTATATGCCTATTCAGATAAGTTTAAATTATTTTTCTTAACAAAAAATAACTTGATATTTGTTTATTTTGGTCAGTTGCTCTGTTACTTTAATATAGAATTAACAAACAAGATAAAGCAGTGTGTATGTACTTAGTTACCCTTGTGACATTCAAATAAAAGTGCTAAGAAAGATGTGTACTGGATTGTACTGCATTGTGATTCTTACAGTGGGTATTGAAAAGAATCACCCCCCTTTAAAATAATCACATTTTGTTGCTTTGCACCCTGAAATGAAGACGGACACAGTTTTTGTTTTATCCAGCTGTATTTACTTGGTGCAACTTATAACATCCAAGTGAAAGTTATAACACATGTCAGAAAAAAAAATATACAATCTGAGTTGGAAAAAGGATCACCCCCTCCTAAAAGTGACTCAATCAGGTGTAGCTAATCACCTTCTCAATGGCACACAAAGCCATTTGACTTTCAACTGTGATCAGCTGTGGTCATTTTGATTAGCTCAGCATGAAAAGAGCTTTCCTGGAGCGTTTCAGTCCTTGGTAGTGCAACTGAAACAAACAATCAACTATGGGTGGCAAGGCACTGTCAAAAGATCTCCAGGATATAGTTGTGGACAGGCACAAGTCAGGAGATGGATACAAAAAAATTCAAAGACTTTATCAATGCCTAGAAACACAGTGAAGTCTATTATTAAGAAATGGAAGGTATAACACAGACCCTCCCTGGATCGCAACACCAAACGATATGTCTGGTGGAAATCCAATACAGCTCACCATACAAATAACGGCAATCCTACAATAGAGCATGGAGGTGGAGATATCCTGTTATGGGGGTGTTTCTCTGCAGCAGTGACTGGAGCACTTGTCAGGATAGAAGGAAAACTGGATGGGGCAAAATACAGTCAAATTCTTGATGAAAATCTGCTGCCCTCTGCCATAAAGTTGTCAATGGGAAGAAGGTTTACCTTCCAACATGACAATGACCCAAAGCACACAGCAAAACTGAGCACACAGTGTTTGAAGGAGAAAAAGGTGAATGTCCTTGCATGGCCTATAGTCAGCCCAGACTTAAACCCCACTGAAAAACTGTGGAATGACTTGAAGAAAGCTGGATAAAACAAAAACGGTTTCAGTCTTCATTTCAAGCTGCAAAGCAACAAAATGTGATTATTTTAAAGGGGGTGATTCTTTTCTATTCCCACTGTAAATGTCAAATTGTACTTTTTAATGAAGTCAATATGAAATCAAAGTTTTTCTTTTTGAATTTGATTACCAGTGGCTCTTTAGATTTAAAATGTTCCGTTTTAAGCAACATTTTACATTTAATGTTTAATCTAATTCAGGTAAATTTACATATTTCTGATGTGTATTTTTTCTGTTTGTAAAAATAACTTCACTTTTCAAATGTCTCACAGTAAAATCTTTTTTTTTTTTTTATTACATACAAATATAAATAACCGAATGTACATTTGAGTATTTTAGATGGCGCACAATGCCTTAATTTATAGTGGTACAAGTATGGTGGCATAGATCAGACGGCACGCTCCCTCTTTCTCATAGTCACCATCCTGAGACAAACTCACAATAATACACATTATTAAAATCATCTGTCATCATCACAGTTACCATTTTACAATAATAATCACTGTGGAAGAAATAAAAGCACATGACTTTCATAGACAAATACTGCATTAATGTTCAGCAAAGTCTTTTTTGACCTTATGAAAAAAAAAAAAAAAAAAGCAGAACTAACTGATTGTGTTGAACAAAAAATTACTGAGCTAGCTGGAATACGTAATCAGCAATTTGTTTGGTCTAACACACTCTACAGAGTCACAGCAGTGAAATATACTGATAGCAGAAGTTTTGCCTATTACAACTGTGTAAAACAACATAGATGGAATATGGCACTGTTTTATAAATAGACCTCAAAATAACAAATTACACTTCTATATCTGCTCTGAGATTAGAACAGCAAGTACTTGAAATTAAAAGCAGTCAAAACTCATGACTGAAAAATGCTGATCAGATTGGATCATTCCAATACTAATGACATAAAATGGACAGAGATATTTAAAAATTCCATTATATTGAAATTCAAAGCAGTCAAAACTCGTGACTGAAAAATGCTGATCAGATTGGAATATTCCAAAACTGATGACATAAAATGGACAGATATATTTAAAAATTCCATTATATTAAAAAGAAAAAAAATAGAGAACAATACATATACCCAGTACTGAACCAAATACAGCACAGAAATCTGAATTGATACATCTTTTGTACAAAAAAAAAAATGTATGGAGGGTTTTGAATAATGTACAATCATGCTTACTCATGGATTAAGTGTTTGTAGTATCCAGTGAGTATGAGGATGGTGTTTGTGTGTGTGTATACATGTCCACTGCTTCCTCTGCTTTTTACCACACTACCTATTAAATACAATCTCTAGGTAATAGCATGTATAATCTCCTCTTAAAGATTAACAGAATTTGCTGAATAAAGTCCATCTTCAGAATACACCATTTCGAATAGGAGCAGAATTATGTGCTTTTAAGTACAGTATGTCTGCTATTCTTTCCAGTTTGAAAGGTGCTGACAAAATGCTTTATGTCCACATATGTGTTGCAGTGCTTTTTTTCAAATGTGTGAATCCAGTTTCAGTCCAAACACACGAGTGCACCTGATACATGGTATCATTTTAGATCAGGGGTGGGCAAACCTGGCTCTTCCAGGCCACTTTCCTTCAGAGTTTAGCTCCAACCCTAATCAAACACACCTGAACCAGCTAATCATTGTCTTCAAGACTACTAGAAGGCTACAGGCAGGTGAGTTTTATCAGGGTTGGATCAAATCTCTGCAGGAAAGTGGTCTGGAAGGGCCAAGTTTGCCCATCACTGTTTTAGATGGTGTTCAGTTCCTCCCAGACACTAGGGAGTGCTGTGAAGTTTTTGGAGCAGTTTATCCTCTTGCAGTTGGAAAGGAACGATGACTGACATCTCAGCAATGAAGCGCTCACATGCCTGTCGGCTCACCTGCTTGCAAAATCGCAGGTCAATGTGGCAGATGCTTCCACAGCGTTTGAAGTAGCTCAGCGACTGATCAGTGACCCTGTTACACACTAAAGAGAACATTAAGAAAGAAGAGATCAGTAATCAGTGAGGGGGAATTAAATGTTTTAAGCATTAGACTCAGTGAACCCTTCAAAAAGGAAAGTTATTTAAACTATTTATTAGTCCTAGGTATACCACAGAAATTGCTGTGGTAAACAGGTCTAACATGTCCTATTTCATAGGTCGAATCCAGAGTTACCAATATGCCTTTTTCACTGAAATGTTTGGGGATCAGCAGGTCTCGCTCTGAACCAGCCCACAATTCCACTGACTTAAGAACCGAATAATGATGTAACCTGCTTACATTGGACGCTTCCTGTATTGACAGCTTGTCTGACTAAAACAAGAGCAATTTTTTTGTCAATCTAGCCAGGCTGAGTTGTTGTTTTGGAAACTTTGAGTGGTGATGATATTTTCCTGCCCACAAGCCCCTGATGTATCTGATTTGAGACCAGAAGGTTTATTGGGCCAGTAGGGAGTCAATTTTCTTTGGTGGAAACTACAGGGCAAGATTGGGCACTGGTTGGGTACCGATTTTGCTCCGGCACCAGCACTGTGTTGGTGAAAAAGGGATATTAACTAAGGAGGAATTTGAATGGTTTAAAAGCTGTAGTATTACATATGACATTTTTGACCAGATTTTAAAACAGTGCAATTACCAGAAAGGTTGACATCGGTTAAGGAGTCTCTAGTGGTGGTCCCTGCAGCAGTCAGCAGGTTTACTGACTGGTCATTGATATGGTTGCAGTAACTCAAGTTCAGATGGGAGAGTAGAGGCATATTTTTAATGATTAGACGCAGAGAGCTGTCTGTAATGTCCAAACCAGCCAGACGCAGGTCAGTAACATTCCGTAATTTGCTGCGCGTGTCCATCTGACCTGTTAGAAAAAGCCCAAGTAGAGAATACACCATCTGAATAAGTAACTGTCTTGTATAAATTCAGATCTGAGTTCAGTGACGTGGAACTTGGATGTGTGCATATCAATCTGGAGTATTGTATATTACCTGGTCTATTGTCAGTAGGAGGGGACAGCAGGTCCCTCATCTGGGGGTCTTTAAGTCCCTCCACCCACTGCAGGTCTAGAGTACGTAACAAAGGACAGCTGGACGTGCAGAGAGCTGAAACAGCCACCCATGAACAGCCTGAGAGAAGAAGTACCCTCAGTCCTGCAACCAAACACACAGTTTAGATGTAGGTTAGATGTGTGCTTAGAGACACCTACATCGATTCAGATGATGTGGATCCACATACTTGCTCACATGAACACTAACCTGGTAATCGGTTAATAAGCCAGCTTAATTGCTTTTTGGAGATGTTGGTCCAGCTCAAGTCCAGAGTGATGGGCTGTCTGCGAATTATCCCACTTAGCATCAGTGGGGTGATGGACTTACAACGCTTCAAATCGATACGAGTCCATAATCTCTTGTCACAGCACCTAAACACAAGATATTAATTAAAACCACAAATCCACAGCTGTAATAGTGAACCAACAATAAAATGTCATTGTAATAATCACATGTAGACCCTGTCCCAAAATGGCACTTCAAGTCTCTTGGCCATTGTTTGTGCATGTCCATTAAATCCACAAGACTGTAGGGCAAGGGTGTCCAATCTTGCTGCTGGAGTAACAAATACCTGCAGAGTTTAGCTCTAGTCTGCTCCAACACAACTCCCTGGAAGTTTTTAGTAGTCCTCAAATCCTTCATTAGCTGGTTGAGGTGTTTAATTATATTAAAGGTGGGGTAAGCGATTTCTGGTAGCCAATGTTGACATTTGAAATCACCAAAACAAACACGCCCCTACCCCAAAAGGGTCTC